AGAGAGAGAGAGAGAGAGAGAGAGAGGTTTTTTCTCTTTTAAATTTTGATGTGGAGAGGCTCTTTTGTCTGCATTTTATTGTGTTCTTGTTACCAGGAATCCGACCTCCTGTGATAAACGAGATTCCATATTCACCACCTAACCAAAAGAATAAATCACCAAACCAAATACTTAAACAGTTAGCACCTCAATCATTATGTTATAATTTTTTTAATAAATGAATTTAGTAAAAGAAGGAAATATATTTTTTGAATTGGGTTGCCATGAAAAAGACTCCAAGGACAGGAATCCTAACTTTTGCTTCTAGAACCAAAAAGTATGTGTATGGGTGAACTGATTATGGACCTTTTGGTTTAATACCTCTTTTAATTAATGATTTTCACATCATTAAGAAGATTATGGCTTTGTGCTTTGGATAGTGAGTGAGGGTCAACTTTAATCTCCCTGGAGAAAGCAAAGCTTAAAAATGTTTGACATAATTTAAGATTTGTTTAAAACCCATTAAGATTTGTTCAAAACCCATTACCATGCACTTCATCTCTCTCTCTGTCCAAAGAGTCTTTCATGTCATTCTCATTTATGATTGTTTCCATTAATTCATGCTGTACTCACTTTGAGCATGTGTGTCCCATTGCAATGTTCCTTTGGTTGCATTTCCTTGGGGCAAAGGTCATTGGGACCATTAAATGGTCAATTCGTTTAAGCTTCTGATAAAGATCTCCCATAAAAATCTCATACACCAAGCAAAAAGAATCCTAGGCCCACTTCTCTTTGTTTATTAATACAAGTGGGATCTCTCCCTTTTCCCAACTTTTTGTTCTTCCTACAACATGCCTTATACACATACAAAGTCCCCCCCCCCCTCCCTCCAGATCTTATCTCCTAACACTTCCCCATTTCATATGCTACTCAACCTAAAAAGAATTCCAAAATATTCTCATTCAATTCCTGCAATCTTTAACAACCCATTACCTCTCTCTCTCTCTCTCTCTCCCACTGTAACACTCAAAAAGGTTTGCAACTTTTCAAGTTATTAAAGAGATATGGGTTATGTCACTACAGTATCTTTTTGTTTCACAACCAACATGGACCCCTATGTAACCTCTCCTTACTGTTTCTCTATTAATACTCAAAGCTCTGTTTTTCCCTCCATGGCTTCTTTAGCCCAGTAATTTGATCCTTAAACATGGAAATGACTGGTTCATTGGCCATGGGTAGGGAGAGGCAGTCTCATTTGTTGCTCTTTCTATTTCTAGTCGCCGCACTCTTTACTCCTGTATTTGGAGATCTCTCAGAGGACTCTGTTTGGCTTCTTTGGATCAAATCAGAGTTGAATGATCCTCAAGGAGTGCTCGAGGATTGGTCAATGAAAGCTGACACTTGTAGCTGGAATGGACTCACTTGCTCTATAGATAAAACCCAAATTCTGGGTTTTAATTTATCTGGCTCAGAGCTCTCTGGTTCGTTGTCCGCCAAATTCTCGCTCTTCACTTCCATTGAGTTTCTTGACTTGTCGTCAAATTCATTAACAGGTTCTATCCCTCCAGAGCTTGGAAAGTTAACAAATCTTAGAGAATTTCTGCTTTACTCCAATTTCCTTTCTGGTTTGATTCCTCCTGAAATTGGACTGCTACACAAGTTGCAGGTACTGAGACTGGGTGATAATCTGCTTTCGGGACCCATTCCAAATCAGCTCTGTAACTGTACTGAGCTAACAGTTTTGGGTCTTGCTTCTCTCGAACTCAGTGGAAGTATTCCTAGAGATATTGGCAAACTGAAGCTCTTGAAGAGCTTGAACGTACAGAGGAACAATATCAGTGGAGAAATACCAAAAGAGGTTGGAAGTTGCAGAGAGCTTCAAGCTTTATCAATAGCCAACAATGGCCTAGAAGGAAGAATTCCACCAGATATAGGTAACTTGAGTGATTTAGAGATTCTAAATTTGGCTAATAATAGCCTTTCCGGTTCGATACCTGAAGTCCTTGGTGGCCTATTCAATCTGAAGCACTTGAATTTGCTTGGAAACAGATTAACAGGTGAAATTCCAACTGAGCTGAATCAAATTAAGCTGCTCGAGATACTCGATTTATCAAGGAATAATTTTTCGGGACCCATTAAAATCTTCCCAAATGTGCTCGAGAGACTCCAATACCTTGTTCTTTCAAGCAATTCATTAACTGGGGATATTCCTGGAAATTTGTGCTCAAGTAATTCAGCATTGGAGAACCTCTTTTTATCACAAAACAAGCTTTCTGGTGAGATCCCACCTGGTTTGGCAAACTGTTGTTATCTTCAGCACTTGGATCTCTCAGAAAATGATTTATCAGGTGAAATCCCATCCCATATTTCCAGTTTAAATTTTCTTTCTGATGTTTTTCTCCAGAACAACAGATTCAGTGGAGTTATACCTTCTGAGATTGGAACTTTAAGAAATTTAGAGACCTTTTATCTCTTTGGCAACCATCTTACTGGAACAATCCCCATAGAGATCGGAAGATTACAGAAGCTGACTGAGTTATCTCTCTCTGAAAACCAGTTATCCGGGCAGATACCCATCGAACTAACAAACTGCTCAAGCTTGTCCGGGATTGATTTCTTTGGTAACCATTTCTCTGGACCCATACCAAGAACCATTGGAAAGCTTAAGAATCTTGTCTTCCTTAACATTAGACAAAATGAGTTAGAAGGCTCCATTCCTTCGAGCTTGGGCTTCTGCAAAAAGCTTCAAACTTTGGCTTTATCAGATAATAGGCTCACTGGAAAACTACCGCCAACTTTCAGGTTTCTTAGAGAGTTGCAGGTTCTCTCTCTCTATAACAACTCTCTAGAAGGCCCAATCCCAAGAAGCCTCTTCTTTCTTAAGAATCTGAACATTATCAACCTTTCCAATAATAAGTTAAGTGGAAGTATGCTTCCTCTTTGTGGTTCTTCCTCTCTCATAAAACTAGACCTCACAAATAATAGATTCATGGGGGCAATTCCTCCATTAGTAGGGAACTCGGTCAATCTTATTCGTCTCAGATTGGGATTGAATAATTTTAGTGAAGGAATACCTCCTGAATTAGGTCAGCTCACAAGGCTCACTCTTTTAGACCTGTCTTTTAACAGTTTAACTGGTGAATTGCCTCGAGATCTATCGGGCTGTAAAAAACTAGGGCATCTTAATCTAAACAATAACAAATTTTATGGGAAAATTCCATTTTGGGTAGGCTCCATTTCTTCTCTTGGAGAGCTGGACCTCTCTTTCAACAAATTTTTGGGGCAAATTCCATCAGAGCTGGGAAATTGTTCAGATCTTCTTAAGCTTTCACTCCAAGCCAATAACCTTTCTGGTGAAATCCCACCTGAATTGGGTAGAATAGCTTCACTGAATGTCCTTAATCTACAGAACAACAAACTCTCAGGTCCCATCCCATCCTCAATTCAGTACTGTAAAAAGCTTTATGAACTGAGACTATCTGAGAATTTGTTAACTGGGTCTGTTCCAAAGGAGATTGGCAAGCTCACTGATTTGCAAATAATGCTAGATTTGAGCAAAAACTCACTAACAGGTGAGATTCCCCCCTCTCTAGGAAATTTGATAAAGCTTGAGGGTCTAAACTTATCTTGTAATGGTCTCCATGGCGCAGTTCCATCGGAACTAAGTGGATTAACCAGCTTAAACTCGCTCAACGTATCAAATAACCATCTCGAAGGGATGCTACCTAGAGGATTTTCAAAGTGGTCAGAGAAGTCTTTTGCAGGCAATTCTGGTCTTTGTGGAGCTCCCCTGGTTAAATGCTTGGAGATATTGGGTAGCCAGAAAGATCGGCTTTCAAAAATGGCAGAAGCTGGAATAACCGCAGGAATTGTGTTTCTCACGACGATTATTTGCTCGATAATTTTGTGGCTTATATTCAGGATGTGTTATGAACTGAGGAGGAATGCAGTTTCAAGCCTGGATTATCAGGTGAGCTCTGAGTTCTATGAAGAGAAGTTTTATGAGGGCAACAAGAAGAGAGCTGTTGGTGGTTACTTAAAGGTGCAATCATTGGATATGGTTTCTTCGCCGCCACCAGAGGGTAAGAAGCCATGAGAACCATGCAAATTCAGGTGTAATTTGAATGTGGGTGGAGTGAAAAAAAAAAAAAGAAGGATTGTAACATGATATTCATTTACATCTCTTTCACTCTCTCCATCTCTCTCTTCTAAGTGAAACTGACAGTCTTGTACATAAGTTGTCATGGAGGCTCGGAATGCAATACCATTCCATCTCTATCTAAAGTTTTTAAAGCATCAGACTCGGCTAGTAACTCGAGTTCTGCTGGACTAGGCCAAGTAGTGCACAAGGCCGAGATGGCCGTAAACTCAGAAAAATTCACAAAAAATGTTTAAAATAAAACAGAAATTGTAAAAGGGAAACAAAACCAAAGACAACAAATAAGGTCCAAAAAATTTAAAAAATATATATATAATATTGATGTAGAAAAAATTGATATATGGCTCGAGACGTTTTAGAAAAAGGCAAAAAAAAAAAAGAGCAAACCATAAAAATAGGAAATATGCATAAGAACTCACAAATCATTATAAGAGACATCTGATTAGGTAAACAATTTTTATACATTGATACTACATTTTTAATTATTTCTTATATTTTTATTTTTTTCAATTGCCCAAGTTGCATTAAGTACTCGGCTGTGTTTGAGTAACATGGTCAAGACGCAGTAGACTCTGCCGAGTTTTCAATGACTGTATCTATCTTTGCTTGCAGAATACAAGTTTTGGCAAGAAGAGTTAAGTTATGGTATCCAGTGTACCATAACCTAACTCCTCTTCCCAAAACTTGTATTACCATCCATTAAGATGATGGAGAGATAGTGGGATCCGCTACAATCACGCTTTACCCATTGGATGTTGCATATGAATGCCTTTCCACTTAAGAAAAATATACACTTCTTCCTCAGGGTAAAAGAGATCTACTTTAAAATCACCAAATATCGGTAATAATAATAATAATAATAAATAAATATATAAATAGAAAAAAAAAAAAGGTAGCAGGAGGGTTTTAGCACTTGATTTTTGCTTGCTTCTCTGGGTGATAAATCTAAAATAAATAAAAAAAGGCCCCTTTTACTGTCGCTCATGTGAAATAATCCACGTAGTAATAAAACACATGAAAAATAAAAAACAAGTTCATATAAGACCTCTACCTTGTACTATTGAAGTAAGGTACACCTCATAAAAACCATCGAGAAAAATTACTCTAAGTGTTGAAAAATCCTCAATTTGTAACGTAAACATATAGAAAAACACAACTTTGAAGTACTAAAATACAACATCTTGTAATACATTATCTAGATATTCTATTTTCAAGATATTTAAGGGTCTATGGATGTCTTCAAACTACACTTTTTGGAGCTTTAATTTTGAAAGGAAAATTGTTTCATGTTGGCTGGACCGCATTTCTACATATGTGGTCTAGAAAGTATAAAGAATCCATCTTAAAGATGGGTGTTCCATCTAAAACAATGGAAACTAACTGTCCAAATATTTTCTTACTAAGATTATTATTTCTAGTTTTTAAAACTTATTTATTTTTTCATATTCATGATCTCCATGTTAGAGATTACATGTCCTTAAAAATTAAATCTTAAAATCCATATCAAAATAGATTTATCAAGAGGCCCACATTTCTACATATGCGGGCTTGGCCATATAGAAACCGGGTCTTTTTTATAATGAGCTGTTAAAATAGAATTTCAGACCATCCAAGGATTTCCAGCACCTAAATTGCATCTATCCATAGAAGTTGGCGTATCAATATAGTATAATCTAGTGGTCAGGGAGCATAGTTGGAGAAAAGAGCAGTTCATAGTCTTCAATGGCTAATGTGTATATTACAGGGCGATTTATACTCTCCACTTTTTGCCATTAGTATTACCATCTTCTTCTTCTTGTCCTTTTGTTGGTAAGAAGCTGATGAAGATAGCAGAATCATTTAATAGCTTGATAAAGATGGGATGTGAATCTCTCTAGGGTTTTGAGGATAAAGGTTCAAGAAGACTGAAATTGGATTTGATTTTAGTTCTAGGATTTATCTCTCTTGATATTGAATAGTGAGGGGAAATTGTAGGAGCCTCTCAGCAATATCATGTGGAGTCACATTGAAACATGTGCAACCGCCCATCTCTCCTAGTGGCTATGCCTCTCCTTCTAAATAGCCTAGTTTTTATCTCCATCTCTTCATGCCTCTAAGTTGTCTTTGTAAGTAGAATCATGCACGGGTAGTTTTAGTAATTTAGTTAAGGGGTTGTTTGGATACTTGAAAATACATTTCCAGAGATATTTTTCAATAAAGATGGCATATTTTTGGCGTTTGGATCGAAACTTTGGGACTAAAAAGTATTTCCGCCTATAGTTGTTTTCCTCATTTTAGGTCAAAAATAAAGAAATCAGTATCATCGTCTTTACCCTCCAAAATTGATTTCTAGCCGGATGTCCTTGTTACGGAGACGTCCACTTTATGAAATACAATGAATTCTACAAAAATACCCTCAAGAATTAAAGAGAGAAACTATCTCAAATTTTATGCTATAGGAAGAGAAAGTGTCGTAAAATTTTAGAGAGAGAAACTATTTCTAATTTTAGAGAGGGAAACGATTGAAAATTTTTAGAGATAAATTATCTCATAGTTTTTATAGAGAAAAACTATTTCAAAATTTAAGTTTTAGAAAGAGAACTATCCAAAACATTTAGAGGGAAACTATCTAAAAAAATGTAGAGATTATCTCATATTTTAAATTTTAGAGAGAGAAAATACTTGAATTTTTTTATGGAGAGAAACTCTCTCAAATTTTTTAGAGTCTTTGTCATAGTTATGAATGATTTAACCAGGCACCTACAATCCTCTAAGTAACGTATTCTTGTTCTCACTAGAAACCAATTTGAAGACACCTCACACTAATCCCCAAACTATTCCCCATGCGCATTTTGTAATTTGAGAGAGGGAGAAATTTCGAATGGGGAGGAAGATGAGAAAGAAGGGTTAGATGTAGAGAGAGAGAGAGAGAGAGAGAGAGAGAGTTTCGAACAACGTTTTTAGGGTTTCGAACGACGGAAATTTTGGCGGGGAGCTTTTTTCGAATAGTGTGGTATGGTCCTGCGAGATCAAAATGTCCGCTTATTTCCTCGGCCAAATGATCTATCCACCGCATTTTACAATCGAAATTCTGAGATCAACCTATGTTCTCAGTTTTAGTTTTGGGTGTCGTTTATATGAGGTTGCAATCTTAAACAATCAAAGTAGGGTGCACCACTAAATTTTATGATAAGATGTAATTTTAGTGTACAAATTTCTTGATGTAAAAATCCATTTTTAACTTTAATTATAAAATTTTAGACTCTAAAAATCAAATAGATCAATAAACACATAAAAAATATAAAAATTGAGGGTTCGGATAACATGTTGTAAGCTGCACTATTTTTGAGACTCGAAATCTTTTTTTCCTTCGGTTTTAAACATCCGAGTGTCGAGATGTATTTTTCAATTTTAAAACAACTTACAATGAATTTTTAAAGTGCACCTTAATTCTACATTATAGGGTTTCAACCTTATGTAAACTTTAGTATTAAAGGCTTAGATCTAACCTTGTAAAAATTAGATAAATGGTAATTTTTTCATGCAGGTATATTGTTTCAAATTTTAATTTTTTGAGATCGGTAGCTAGAGCAATATTTGCAAAACTGGCTGATCTAATTGCTAACCGCCCTATTAGAGCTGGCCAGTTCCGATTTTGGGCAGTTTTGCTGATCCACCGATATTTTGAACTTTAAATAAAATACTACTTTAAGTTCATGTCAACTGCGTCAGAATGCTTCGCATTGAGGGTTACCTTTTATATGAATTCAAATCCGGCATTCTCATAAAAAAGTCATTTATCATTAGACCCACTAACCAATACACCATGTACTAGTTAGTTGACGAAAAGAAGGGCTTATATTATATATAACTTAAATTATTTTTTATTTTCCTTACAAAAAAAAGAGTTTGTCAAGTCGATTTTTTTAACACTATTTTAATCAATGGTTTAAAAAAAGGATCGGTGACCCGGATCGGGGTTTCAAAAAACCGATCCGGATCGATGAATCGGCGATCCGTATCGGGAATCGGGTGAATCGGTCAGAATAAAACTCAAAAAAAATCCGAAAAAATTATTAAAATTCATTATAAATATTGTTTTTTAGGAATTCAATAAGAAATGAGGGTACTCCATTAAGAATTTTCATGTTTTTGAATGGATATGCGAATATTGATATGTTCTTTCCCTGCATGAACCGCCATTCAGCATTTAATTTACATCACACAAAAAGATGAACATATAATTATCATGGAATAAGTATATCAACATACATAGACTACAATAAAGCATAAAATTAGTAACATATGATCTAAAAATAAAATGATAGACGACGTTATTGTTCTTCTTGGTCACGCTGGTGCCAT